TCTATCTATCTATCTATCTATCTATCTATCTATCTATCTATCTATCTATCTATCTCTTTGTTTGTCTGTGAGTGAGTGGACGAGTGTATGTGAATGTATTGGAATGGATACCTGTGGTCACATACACAATATATTATGTAGATTACGGTCAAATATATCGAGGGTGAGAGTTAAATGTTTAGGAATCTATTGAGATGAAGTCTCAGACACGAGAAAACATGACTTACCACATGCGATACGGGTATGATAAAACAGTAAACATGTGTTTACCGCTATCAATGTCGCCCGGGCAGCAATAAACCGCTCCGTTTTATCAAAAATAGCGACGTGATGAGACCTGGCCTCTCTTGGATTCATATTCAGAGAGAACGTTTTATTTTTGCATTAGTAAATTTATAGGACTTCACACCTAAAGCTGTGGAAATTCTAGATGAATATCTTATAATGTACAAATTCAAACACATTCTAATAACCTTTTTCCTAAGCAATCAACGTCACGTTTTTATAGGATTTTTGTTGAGGTCACGAGGTATGATAACGGTTTTTTAGATTGTTGTGAAGTTGTTTTCGCGGACCATCTGCCAGTGAGGAATTATAGTATGTAGGACGTGGTGGTGAAGACTTGATAATTTACTGAACTCCAGGAAGTGGGTGGGTGGTGGGTGTTCTGGTGTGCTTTGTGCTTTATTTCCTTTCAAACATAAATGATCTCTCCTCCTTCTTGTCTTTATGTGATACCCTCAAGTAGCATTTCTAATCTTCGGCACTCTTATTATCTGTTTGTGCTACAAGTGCCGTAAAACTCTTAATGAAACTAAAACTACCGACGTGAGAAAGCTGAGGAATGGGGTTTCAGAGGAACAACACGGACAATAATGTTTAAAGATTATTTCCAGGCTACGAGGCGGTTTGAGAAGAATTATGCAAAAGAAAAAGAAAATTAATGAATCAGCTTCTGCCATTATGGGCGTGGGGACGATTTTAGTTCATGGCATGACTTAGCATTTTTTTCTGAGATTTAGAGTATAATGCGTTTCGTTTTATGGTTCACTGTGTCAATGTTTTGTCCTTTCTTCCCTTTGGAGCCCAATGAAACTTTGTCTTTTCGACGTCAAACAATTCTTTAAGATTTTTTTTTTAAGTTTACAAATCCGAGTGGTCACCCTGCCTCCTCTCTAATCCCTTACACCATGGCCTTTTCTGATACAGCCGGGGTTAGCCTTGAAAGACAAACAAGCATAGATACATACCTGTACCTGCGGTTTAAAAAAAGGCATACTTCGCATATCTCGAACTCATATTCACAGAGTGCATTTTACTTTTGCATAAGTAAGTTTATAGGACTTAACACCAAAGCTGGGAAAATACTGCATGAAGATGAATGAACAGATAAAATGGTAAGATAGACAGACAGATTGTCCCAAAGGATCGATAGATGGCTGGATAAGACAATGATTCAGATATGTATACATAAATCATTTGATTGACAGACTAGTATATGGAATTACTAAACGACGAAAGGGTGAATTTGAGGATTGGTGGATCTATCTGTTTGACACACATGTGACATCACTCACACGTTTCTATTTCTCTCTCTCTCTCTCTTTTCTCTCTCAGGCGAGCGACCCTTCAAATGCAACATCTGCGGGAATCGTTTCTCCACCAAAGGCAACCTCAAGGTTCACTTTGAGCGGCACAAGGCGAAATACCCTCACATCAAGATGGACGCCACACCGGTTCCTGAACACCTGGACCGTCACCCTAACCTGCTAGCCGCCTTCCCACCCACGCCAATCCCACCCACCGTCCCTCTCCCACCTCCCATGCCCCGCCT